AGAGCTCTAATAGAATGTATAACATCTTATAATAATTGATTTTGAATAAAAGTTCATTTTTATATAACAAAATATTTGTCTTGCTATTGAATTCTATTTATTTTGCTCAGATTTTCATTAAAAATACTATTATTCAAATGCTGAAGAAGATAATAATATATTGTTAAATTCACTATTAAGATATAAAAGCTGAAACACTAATTTTTATTTACTTTCTTTCAAATCACACTTTCGAATTTTTATAAGAATTTTTACCAAAAGGATATTGCTATGCTACAGACAAAGAATATAACAAAATCAAATGTGATTACATTAATAAAGTAAATTAAAATTATCATGTATGAATTTTGGTATGAATCAACGAAATAATGTACGATAAAAACGTTCGTAAGAATTTCTAATGATACTCATATTCTTGGAAGCACAAGTAATTATTGGTGAAGACAGTGTTTGATGTTGATATGAAGAATTTTGCGAAGCAGCAATCGTCCCAGGTAATCATGGAATTTTTCATTGCGATAGCAACACTGGTGCAGAAAGACATTCAATACTTTGAAGCATAAATAAATTTTATTTTAAATATACAAGCATTAAAATATATACATTATTCATTATATTATAAAAATTATTTGTAGTTAGATTTTACTACTGAAAATATCACGTATATTATTTTTTGATTGGCTGAATTTCATCATTCAAAATTGCATGATTATTTTTTATGCAAAATGTAATTGCATATTTAGAAATAATATTCCTTCATAAATTATCAGCAGTAGCGCAGCATGAGCGCAATACAGGATCAAAATTATGAAAATAGACATTCCAAAGTCTAGTGAATTTAGACTATATATTTCATCAAGATTTTATAAAAATTATTATTTAGTATTCAGAAGCTTAATATTACTTAACTTAAAGATAGAAATATCTACTATATGTTCTAATCTCATAAGTATGAATTTTTGACTGCTTTATAATCTCATTTTATTTCAAGCTGCGAACGAAAAAGATCATTATTCGGTTTGTTACAACAAACAACTGGATTATGAAAAAAAATATATAGACGAAGATGGGAAGATTTAATATTTTACCTTATATTTCGAAGTTAAATAATAAAATAATTAAGTTATAGACGATGCTCAGACTATAAATTTTGAATCTTTCATTCTTTCATGTATGTTTTAATAATAAAATAAAACTTTTCTAAAATTTTATATTTTAATAATCACGTGTAAAATATTAATTAATTAGTCATCATAACGGTGAACTACAGTCGCACCTCACTATAAGAACAAATTCTTATAAGAACAATTTTCAAAATCAAACTTATTATAAAATATATTATGATTTCTCTCTTATAAGAACATATTATAAATTTTTATAAGGACAAAATTTTTTTGTGTCCCGACCATGTTCTTATATGACTGTACTTCGTGGTGTAGAAATTCGTTATATCTCTCATATATATATATGTATAAACTTGTTTTTGACTAGATTCCAAGCTTGCTATAGTGCAGAAGAGTATAACTCAACATCTTGCTCTAATTTTAAATAATAGATAATTTTTTGATTGAACAAATAAATTAAAACTATAATAAAAAACGAGAATATATCGATCAGAATAATTTTTAAATTAGAGCATGGCGTTGAGTTGTAATGTTCTGCGTTATATTGACATTGAATTTATAATTCCAATACTAATTAACAACTAGTTTTATCATTACAATCAAAACAAGTATCGAATCTTACATATTTTTATACAGCAACGTGTAAACTATTTGTATGCCATTTTTGCTATAAAAATAAATAAAATAAATCAAATTCTATATAAAATCTAATTGATTTTAACATATATCTTCACGATTAACTTCTAAAAAAACATCAGTCACCACAGCATTCATAAACTCCTCATTGAGAAACTCTTCAAATTTTGCCAATTTTTCAAGATCTACCGGTTTATTTGCCAGAGTACAACCATCAATTCGTACAATTTTACCCTGATATGGGTGACATGCAATCGACATCATGATTTCTTTGCGAGGGTTATGGTTTGAAACATACGCATATCTCCAGCCTTCAATTGGGTCGTTGTAATCAATGTTCGAAAGATCGGTTAACACTAACTCCCCAGTAGGTTTTCGCGTGCCGACTTTCGTTAAGATTGGACGAGCGAGCTAATATCAAGGAAAGAATAATCGATTGAGAATGTGGAATTCAGGCGTGGATCATCACTTATGTTAATTATTCAAACCTTGACTTCTTTATTCGCCAAGTTTTTATAGTTCCATGGGCGAAGTTTTGTTTCGAATTTGTTATCTTCCAAGTTCTCTGATTCTTGCTCAATCAGATTATTATAGTTTTTTGGAAATCCCTGATCGCTCTTGTTCATTTCATTATTAGGGTACAAAGTTTCCGATTCGTACCCGTCTTCAGAGAATTTGATCAAGCTTTTAATGTTACATGGGCGAAATTTGGGTTCGCAATTGTAGGCGTCATCTTTATTGTTCATTTTTTGTGATATTTTAATTTGTCTACGAAAAATTTATATAAAGAATTCTATGTTTATATATGAAAAAATAAAGGGTAATAAAGTTATTATGCAATATATTTAGATTTTGGTGCTATATAATCAATCTTTTTGGATAATTATATATTTTTGCCCATCATAATAACACGCGTTAGTTAGTTTTTTTTAATTCAGATAATGATGCATAGTGATTAATCGATTAATCGCTTGTGCTCATGATGCATACTCGTATCGAATCAAATTGTGTGTGTTTATGTTGATTGATTTTGATTTGGCAAACTTTTATTTTAAGTGAAAAATGAATACATAATGGATGAATAAATGATGTGCTAGCTTTTTAATCATAATATATTCAGGCCTATAAAAAATAACATTCTGCATGCAAAATCTATTTTTCATGTGATTTTTCATATTTATTATCGATAAGTTGCTTAATTAATAAAATTGTTCTTATTGAATATGTCTTTCTTTATCTTAAAAACAAACCCTTAAGTTTCAATGAGCATAGATGTATCTTATAAAATTCATATACTTTA